ACACACAATTCCAGAAAAAGACTGCCTTTTGAACCAATTAAGTGGCAGCATGGATAAGCCATTTTACTTCCTAAAGAGAAGTAAGAGTTTGGGGGAGGGCATTCATTATTAGAACACAAGATAAGTTTCGCCAGAATAATTCTAGCAATGACTCATGGTTGCCAGTCAGTAGATATGGAAATGACTCGTTCATGAACAGTTCAAATGTCTCAAACTCCCAGCCAGGGGCAATACAAAGCTGAGCAGGAAAGAAGCCTGCATCTGTAAAGATGTCAGCTTTCTGAAGGAAGGAAGGAAAAGCCGTAAAATGCATTTCATTTCAGATGTATATGATAAACTACAAAGCAATAGTTCTGAAAATAAAGTGCACAACAGTCAATTTCAACTTTAATTTGAGAAGAATGTAAGGGGAGAGAATGACTTTGGTTTTGCTTGTCTTTTGCTTTGTTTTAAACCAACGCTGTCAATGAGAACCTCTAGTCAGAGCCAAGAAAAAGACATTGCTCTCTTCAATCATTCACTTTCGAGGACACTTGAAACATGTGCAGACATGAAAATTTTTGCTATTTTTATCATACTCAGAAGTAGAAAACAAATAAGAAAAAATGAAGGGCGTAATGACATGGCTCTACCTCACAATCTCAAACTTTTAGTTTTCTTGAACAGAGAGTAATTGCAAGTTACCTTTTCTTTTGTCAACAGTTGCTACCACATTTCCTTTCACAGTGCCAGGTGTATTACAGAAGCAACCCAATCTCCCTTACTCTGTAGAAAAACAACCATATGGACAAGGAGGACTTAAACACTTTTGAAATGATTCTAATTCCAGAGTGAATTTCTTAATCTCTCATCTGTACTACTGCGTTTGTTGAGACCAAAGCATAGCGCTTGTTCTCCTTTGGCTGTCCTACAAGCCTTTCCTGTCCTACCAACACTGCCGACTGCAGTTGCAGCTCTGTTTCAGGATTTCCCTGAAATACAGTACTTTAGACCCTGATGCTCTTCTACAGCTCTCTTGAATTTGTGTATTAAAAAAAAAAAAAAAAAAAAAGCACACATTGATGCTTTAGCCCAAATCTAACCTTTTCCAATAGAGTATATAGAAGGACTAAGTGCTTTATCTGGTGATTACTTCCCCCACTGCAGTATGTGGCAGGAGGGACTGGAGCCGAGTGCTTTATCTGATTACCCAAGTCCATTTCATTTCTATTCTCAGCAGTCTCGAAATACCCTTAACACAAATATCATCCAGTAAAGCATGGGATATCAGAAAGGAACTTACAGCTCATCTTGTTGCTAATGTTCAAACCTATTTCACCAAAAGCATAAGCCTGCAAACTAGACACAACACAGATACAACAATATTAATGATTCTCATGGACAATTTTTGAGAAAGGGAGGAAAAAAGCAGGGGAAAAGAGAGAGAAAGGGGCAGGAAAGGCTGTGTCTGTTTATTCTCACTGCCAGAAGCAGAGATACAGGAGTGTCAGCAAAAAGAGGTAACATCAAGCCCCAAAGCCAATAAAACACACCTAAAATGCCTTGGTGTGTGCTTGGGAAGATGGACAGCTCTGTATTTGTCACAGTAAGCAGTCGGAATCCAGACATTACCAGCAGTGCAGTTTCATACTGAAAGCACAGCAGCTAGAACACTGATTCCAAGATGCAGACTTTCCAGGTGAAAAAAAAGTTTCCATATATATGTTTGAGAGTTGTCAACATTATTAGACACTGTGGGAAAACTTCCTTACACAATCCCTCTGAGCTTATCCCTCCAGCCACCTTTATAAACTCCACTTTTACCACTGTGAAAAGCTCATCGATCAACTGCTTTCCTTTTTAGGACATAAAATAGCTACAAAGCTGTCCAAAACTACATTGAGACAAGCTGAGCAAAACACACAGCATGGAAGCAAAACACTGACACAGATGCACTAAGGAAAATACAACTGTGTGTGACACATGAGAACCTGGCTACTCTCAGCCTCATGAATCTAAGTAAAGATTGAACTCAATTGTTATAAACCTTATAAAAATCACAGTGAGATCCTAAGCAAATGATAGATAAGCACAAGAGAGTTTACAGACTACCTTGGTTCAGGGAATTAAATTCTATATAATCTCTCTATTGAGCACTTTGCAACGAGGAGAAACATAGTGTGGGAAGGGTTTACAATTTATTCTGAAGCTGCTGGGAAAAAAATAGGGAAGGGTGAAGGGGAAGAGTGACGGGGAATAAACGAGGAAAATATGAAAGAATCAGCAAAGCAAAGGGAAATGGAAGAATATTTCACCAGCTAAGGATATACTGACTTAGCAACATTAATGCTCTTATTTCTAGATATATGGTACACATAAACACACAGAAAAAACAGCTTCTGAAAGGAAAGCCTTAAGTTATTGAGAAGAAAATAACTAATGGGCAACAGAGTTATATTTGAAAAGAATGCTGGTATATTATTTTCATAGCTCTATGTAGCTAAAACTACAGTCTCCAACTACCCTTTATAAATGAAGTTCCACTGTAAAAAATATACTAAGGAACCACAGACACTGTTACAAGAGGCAGCTTAAAAGGTTTTCTGAGAGATTTCCCAAACAGATGCAACTGACCAGCCTAAAGAGAGCAGATATTATCCCAATGAAGGAAATAAAAGATACTTTCCACAGCCAGTACCTTCACCTTGTCTCAATCCCATAACCTTCTCCTTAAATAAGGCACCATCGTTCCCATCCCTCATTCACACCTTTAATTGCTTCTACTAGTATAGAACACAAAGATTTTAACATAAGGAAAGGAAAATTTTACAAGCTTTCCTCTTTCCTTCTTCCTCCACCCAGGTCAGGTTAGCATTTCAAGGCTTTTCAAGGGCAGGGGGAGAGGAGGATTGCTGGATTGCTTCCAGCTGGATCAGTTCTTTGATTCGGCTTACAGTGAACTCTAATGGAAGCCCAGGAGATGGGTAGGCACATGTGTTTGGTGTTAGGCCAGTTGAAAATAGACGTTTGGAGGCCCCACCAAGCCTACAAAAAGTCAGAGGATGGTCAGACCTTATTTCTACTCCAGGACTGATGCTTTAATCCCCAACGTTTACCTTTCACACACAGGTCTCTCTCTGAGGGGGTTGTCCCCTCCTGTAACTGACGGGCAAGTGCCCACAGGAGACTTGAGACAGAGCCCTTACAGGTCCCACGAACAACGAGGAACCACCTCCCCCTACATGTACGCAAGAAATAGTGCTAAGGAGTAACAGCTGCATGAACAAATCTCACCAAAAAAAGTACTTGAAATTGGCTTCGGTGATGGCTCTCAGTTTGTGTTTTCAGCACGAAGAACAATTTCTGAAGAGCCTAGAAGCTGCATAGGGACTTTCAAATATTATTTTTATTTTTGAATTAGAGATATATCTTTAATATGGAAGAGAAACCCAGGAGTATATAAATACTTAGAAACAATATTAGTATCACAATAATCTTATGTAAATAGAAAAAAAAAAAAAAAACAGGCATTTGTGATGGTGGCTTCCTTCCCTCTCTTCCAGTTTGCAAGCAAGTCATTCTGCCTTCCTAGTCATAGTCTAATTCCTACAATTAGTTTCCAAGATGACAGTTTATCATCTGACATATCAGAACAAACACATAACATAGTTCAATAAAGCAGCACCCGAACAATATACAAGATATGCAGATGGCAAGATAAAAAGCACACCAAAACATAACTCAAAGGCAAAAAAAACTTCTTTGTTGTTATTATGAAATCTTAGCATTGTTGCATCTTTACCCCCCGCCTTTTCCAGGACGGAAGGACTAGAATTCAAGCGCATCCAGCCAACTTGTTAGTTTGATCTCCAGAAAGCCATTCCCTATATTACGGCTCAGTAAAAATATCACCAACTCAGCCACGTAATCTTTTGCAATAAAATTTTAACATTCTCTATTTAAAAAAATACATACCAAATATGTAAAAAGGGATGCTTTCAGACAGCTAGGAGCTTTTTAACTAAGCATGCTTTCTCATTAAAAAAAAAAAAAGCCACAGATTGAGATCAAAGCTATTGCAGGAAGCCTTTTCTCCTCTCCTTTTAGAGGATCAGTCAAAAACTTTTCACAAAATAAATCTTTCCATCATATTTTTAAATAGCCTTTGCAACAGTTTTCCCTTCTAAAAAATAACAGAACACAGTAATTAGATTCTTGTCCCAAATTGGAATGAGACGTGTATTTTAATCCTCTAAATATGTAACCTGATCATGTCCTCAACAAGGAGTGACAGGATGCGTAACCAGCAGAAATCTTTATTTTCTCATTACATTATGTTAATCCGTTCATACCAGGAGCTGGATTCTCCTCAAGTAACATCCCCTGCCAGCAGTGGAGACACTGAAACCGCTGGCATCAACTAGTTTAAAATACAGCGATACAAAATCCCACCAAACCTTGAGCATTATCTTAATGCCTGCTTGAAGTCATTCTCTAATATAATTTATTTTCCTCTTCAAATGTTTCTTTACAGTTCCCACAGAAAGTTAAGCCTTGATGCTAATTATTATGAACTTCCCAGTGGAAAATGCGCAGAGCCCAACTGTCACACAACTCCTGCAGCCCCTGCTGCCATTTCCAGGGTTTCCATCTCTAATACCCAGTTGAGAGAGAGGACGATGGGAATGCTGAGAAGTAAAACCCCACGGCATTCGCCTGGCTTCGCACTAAGTCACGCTGATTCTAGCTCTATTGGAAGCTCCCCCTGTGAAACTGCCCACATTGCTCACAGCCCCTTTCCGGCTTTAACACCGGCAGGAATGTCCCACGTGTGGGTTTCTTCGCGCAAGCATCAAATGTTCATGGTCTAAGTATTTCAGCACAACCAGCTAACACGAGAGGACAGCTCAGCGATGTAAGTCAGCCTCACGCACGGCTGTCGACACGGAGTCTCTCTGCTCGGTAGCAGCCGCGATTTAAATGGCTTTTTTCCCACCTCCCTGCGACTCTGGAAGGCTACGATGTCCATACGAGTTGTGGAGCCTGACACGCAACAGAGCGAGACGGAGGGTGGCACTTACCAGGCAGGTACCAATCTAAGAAGCTACTTTACAAGGCAGAAAAAAAAGCGGAGAGGAAACACCGAGTTCGCAGCGCACCCCCGCGCCGCCTGGCCGCGGCTCAATGACAGCCCGGGCTCCGCGACCCGCCCGGGGGCCGGG